TTCCAATATGTTAGCAGATCTTCTGAAACAATTAAACACCAACCTAACAAATTACTTTCTGCAAAGCTAAATTAAGGAGGAATACTCTAAGCCTGTGAGTAAGTATAGACCAAGTCTGAGAGGTCTTGGAGACTATGTGACTCCTGTTCTCCAATGTCTCCTATGATTTTTCATTCAGGAATCCAATCAGAGGAAGCCTACCACAAAAATTACTTTTTAAAAACCTTGTTTGATAACTGTATTATCAAAACACAGAGACATCTCTATTCATTCACAATACACGAGGCTCCTGGACTGGTGGCTCTTTCTCTGGAGAAAACAAGTTTGAGGTGGTAGGAATTCTGAGTCATGCTCTTGTTTTGTCTAGGTGCTTCTTATTCACATTTTAAAAAAATCTCATACTTCACCAATTTAATAGAAAAAGAGCAAAGACATAAAAACTGAATAGATTTTGTGGATAATCAGTAAGAGAAGACCTATATCACTCACTTGTGGTTTCTCTACACTTATTGTATTCCCTTGTAATGACCAGTTCCTCACAAGCGTTGACCAAGTCAGACAGAACTCTTGGAAAATGAGTGATTTCTGCCACATTTTATATGATCAATCAGGAATCCTATGAAAGGCAGCCCATGTGACCTTCCAGTGTGAGGTCTTAAAAGAGGAGGAAAAAGATGAATAGTATATTTATATTTCATTGCCACAAGCCTTTCTCTTCTCTGCTTCAGCTATACTTACCAGAGTCCTGATCAACAACAAAGAATTAACAACTGTCTACACAGGGTAAAAAGCACCCTGTGTACATATATATGGAATTTGTCAGAGAAAGGGGGTAGGAAAGGAAGATAAGTAATATTTGTTGAGTAGCTACCACAGGCTAGGCATTATGCTTAACATTTTGTAGCTGCACCAGCAAGTGTTGGGACTATCCTCACCCTTTTACACTTAAGAAAACCGAGGTTCATAGTGACACAAAGATCATCAACTATTAAGGAGTAGAGCCTGGATTCAAATCCTGATACACTATGATAGCAACATCTGTGAACACTACATTTCATTCTGCTGATGGGAGAGAATACAGATGTAGAGTGAGCTAACACTAGCAACTCTTCATAGGCATAGAACAGTAAGGTATGAGGAGAAAGGGTAGTGGTTTTGGTAGTCAGGGACAGAATCCAACAAAATGTGGTGTTTCTATCTTTGAAGAATTACAGGAGCTAGAGTCACATCTGGAATCATGATTAAACAAAAAGCACATGGCTTCTGATGTTTTACAAATCTGTCACTGGATGGCCATCTCAGAATGAATTAAGGGGGTTTGAGGGGACAAATGCAGGGTTATCGCAGACTCCAGAGCTTCAGTGGGCATGTGATAGGCTGTAGAAAGTCATGGCCCTTGGGACATGCTACTATAGACTGGATGTTTATACCAACTCTCTTTACTACCCCAGTCCTGCTTTGAAATCTGATCCCTAATTTGTTGATGTTTGGGCATGGGGCCTTTGGGAGGTGGTTAGCCCATGAGAGCCCTTTATGAATGGGATTATGACTCTTGTGAATGAGGCCCTGGAGACCTCCCTGGTCACTTCCAGCACATAAGAATACAGAAAAGATGGCCATTTATGACCAGAAAACAGGATCTCATTAGATATTAAACCTTCAAAAGCCTTGGGCTTGGACTTCTCAGCCTCCAGAACTATGAGAAATAAAATTCTGTTGATTATAAGCCACCTGGTCTATGGTATTTTATTTTATTTTTTTTTCAGTAGTCTAACTAGACTAAGACAATGATGAAATTATTGGGCTTTCTACAGCTGCTGCCATGGACTGCTTCTACCCTAGCACCCTATGGCAGACTTCATAGTCTGGTCTTTATAGTGGCCCAAATTATAAGGTCATTAAATAGTGAAAAAGAAAGACATGGGATCTCAATTAAAAATGGTCAAGAAGAATTTTAAGGAAATTCTAGTAATCATGAATTTTTGTTCCATATTCTAATGTGTTTCATTTACTGTCTATTAATTTAATCCAAATAGACTCCAACTCTGGCTGGTCTCCCACTTAATATAGCTAAGACAATCTGATGAATGCTGTGAAATTCTTTCTCCCCAGTTGGAAATAATATTGGCTTTATGTTTCCATATGATGTCAGCAGGTTTTGGTTAAGTCTAATAGCTGTCCCCTAAGCAGCACCTGTTCACTTATAGTACTTGTGGGCATCCTTCTGTGACATTAGTCCAGTTATCCAATTATTCAGTTATCACGTGAATAATGGCACATCAAATTGTTGATGGTCACAAACATAATGTTTTCAAAACATTGATTTTATTCCACTTTAACTCCCTCTTTTCTTTCTACTTTATGCTGAGTATACCTACAAATATGAATTAGTCTTTGAACTTGCTAAATATCTATCTACTCTCTCTCTCTCACCTATCTACATATATTTAAAATCAACACTTGGCATTACTTCCAAGAGTGTCAAGGCTTATAAAATAAATATGTAGAAGTAGGTGAATTAATTTGCATATAGTCTTATCTGGGAGTTTTGAAACTGTGCCTCATGGAGCCAAAAAGGGTTATTGGGTGCTGTCACAGGAAATACTGGACTGCAAGTCTCCATCCTACCATAAATAAGCAGCTTTCCCCTTATCTATTTTATTTATTGGAATTCCTTGTAAGATTTCATTTGAAGAATGGCTCTATACATTTATGAAAGTCTGGGAATCACATTTCTAGATAAATCTCTTCATTCCAGATGAGGGGAAAAAAAGAGTTTGGAGGCATATACCATTCTTTCAGGTAGAATACTGGCAGCCAGCTCCAGACTCTTACTCACTGCGCTCACCCTCCATTGTATAGTTTTTTCCACAACTCAATGTTTATCAAAGGTCAGTTATTTGAAATTTGTGGTTCATTGTCACAAAAATTAAGACCCTGAAGGAGCCTTTATTTTCCTTCTGGCTTGGTCCTTAAATGATTTGCTTGGTGCTCACATGCATTGTCAGCATACTAAAGAAGATACACAGGGCCAGCAGGAAAGGGAAAATGGTCCAAATGACGGTGAATTTGAATACTTTCTGTAAACTTCAGTATGCAAAATATTATTCTTGGTTTTCAATATCATTACTACCCTTCTAAGCAATCTTCTCTGAAGCAGAGTGATAAAACATGGACACTATATTTCACAAGCTTCCTGGTTGTGGGGGGCGGGGGTCATGGTTAGATTCTACTAATGGAGATACTCACTAGAGATTTGGGAAGCAGAAGGGGAAGAGAAGCTTTCATCTTCTCAAAAGCATGAGCACATAGTTGATCTAAGACTTTGCTGGTGGCTTTGTTTAGAACATCTTCCTAAGAATAATCCACTCTGTGCTATAGGGAGCTGAGATCATTGGCAGTGACTTCCAACTGCATTTCAGGTCGGTCTGAGAATCAACTATGGTTGTGCTGCAGAGCCAAGACCACTGGTGGTGACTCCCAATGATTCTGGATTTCCTGGAAGTAGTTTCCCACTGCTATGCTCTCTTGACTTTCTAATACTAATGTGTCATTTAATTTCCTGTATTGAACTTCTTCCTACTTAAAACACAAGAGAAGTTTCTTTTTTCTGAATTGAAGCCAGGTAGTCTCAGAAATTGATTTCTTCAAGGGAAGTGGCATAGGGAGGATGTAAGTGTTTGAAACTGCTATCTGAAACTGCAAGAAGAGACAGCTTCAAGTGTTTTTTAATTCCCATAAGGCCATCCTCAGATATGGCCAAAGAAACTAATAAACCAAGAGGTTCCACTGTGGACAGAAATAGAGGCCTAGAAACAATGGGGAGAGGTGTGTCTTTCAGAGAACGGAATCCAGGCTAAGTTGAGGAACTTTTCCCATCCCAGGATTTGGAGTCTTTCAGAGTATTTGCTCAGTGGGACCTCAGAATTCTTTTTTTTTTTATTATTATAAATTTTGTTTTTATATTCCCCATACAATTGCGACCCCCCTTATTTTGACCCCAATCCCTCCCCTTCCCGCCCCGCCATCCCCCATAGAGTATCTCTGCTTCATAGTTGTTTATTGATTTTGATTTTTACTTTCTTATAGTTGTTCTTTTTCCTGGTCCCTTATTTAGGTTTAGATTCCTGCTATGAGTGAGACCATCCGGTATTTTTCTTTTTCTTTTTGGCTTATTTCGCTGAGCATGATCCCTTCCAGCGCCGTCCATGTTGCTGCAAATTGCATGTGTTTATCTTTTTTGAATGCTGAGTAATATTCCATTGTGTATATGTACCACATCTTCTTGATCCAGTCATCTATTTTTGGGCATTTAGGGTTGTTTGCAAAGCTTAGCTATTGTAAACAGTGCTGCTATAAACATAGGGGTGCAGGTGTTCTTTGGAATTGATGTTTCTGTGTCCTTTGGGTAAATACCTAGGAGTGGAATTGCTGGATCATATGGAAGCTCTATGTTTACTAGGTCAAGAAATCTCCACACAGCTCTCCATAGTGGTTGGACCAGTTTGCACTCCCACCAACAGTGCAGGAGAGATCCTTTTTCTCCACATCCTCGCCACATTTGTTGTTGCTAGTTTTTTTAATATGTGCCATTCTCACTGGTGTGAGATGATATCTCATTGTAGTTTTGATTTGCATTTCCCTGATTACAAGTGATGTTGAACATTTTTTCATATGCCTGTTGGCCATTTGCATTTCCTCTTCAGAGAAATTTCTTTTTAGCTCTTCTGCCCATTTTTTTGACTGGATTATTTTCTTTGTTTTTGTGGAGTCTCATCAGCTCTTTGTAGATTTTTGTGATCAGTCCTTTATCATTAGTGTTGTGTGCAAAAATGTTCTCCCAGTCAGTGGGGGACCTCAGAATTCTTAAATTCAGTTACTGATGTGGAATTTCACTTCTTCCAAGTGGGAAGGTTTAATTTAACTCTCCTTGATGTGCTTCCCCCATTGTTGGGGTGTATGTGATGATGGTGGTAGAAACTTTCCCTTTTTGTTTGTAGGTCACCAGATCAAGAGGAGCCTTATTTGGACCTGCACATCTTCCAGAGATCCAGGACTCAAGCTTTAGACACACAATAGATAGAATTTGAACAGTCTCTCTTGGCAGAGGTAAGTGAACTCTGTTGGAGAATGAATGGAATGGATATTCGGGACGAGAAGGTAAAATGGAGGCAGCGACCTGCCTTGTAGTTATTAATCTTTTTATTTTTTTTTCTGGAGCACAGAGAAATTTCCATTTCCTGGTTTTTTTTTTTTTCAGTTTGGTTGGTGCATCTATTTGATGACTAGACAATGGCATGTAGCCTGAAATAATGTATCTCCCTTGTAATTATTGCCTAAAAATCCCTATGTGACTGTTCACTCATTTCCCCTCCTAATGACAATCATAGCATCACCATTGAAACAGTGTTTCAAGATAAAAAGGAGTTGGATCTGGGTCATTGCTTTAAGGAGTGCCACCCAGGAGAGCTTCTCCACCATGTGATATATGTGAAAAGTGAACTTTTATAGGATAAGTTACCAAGGTTTTTGCACTGTTTAATATAGTGCAGTGACTGAGTCATGAAGGAATTAAACAACATAATTAACACAATGTTTAGAGATTTTAAAATGAAATAAGGATAAATCAGAATACTCACCACACTTAGAAGGTTATGGCTTACTTCTTAGTGTTTTTTCAGGCAGGGTTTCTAAGCTGTTTTAATTCTGGGATACATTACTAATTTCAAGATAATTCTGCAATTGCGTTATGTATTCCTAGGTTCACATGTAGACATTTTAGTATTTGATCATGAAGGTATTGGTTTTGGAAAATAACTCCCTTGGCTCTGATGGTCAGAAAAAAGAAACAAGAGAAGGATGTATTCATAGAGTTCTGGAGAAGGATCGAGGTACTACTTTGTGGGGTGTCACTTTTGTTTACTCCCCAGATCGGAACTTCTGGACTCTGGGGTCCCAACCTTTAGGAATAAGTGTGAGACAGACTGCTGTTTAAAGGAATGCAAAGTGGGAAGGGTAAGGAAGGCCAGCTGGGGTTAATGTTGCAAATCTTTTTTTTTTTTTTTTTTAATGTTGCAAATCTTAGGAACATATAGAAAGATGCAACTTGTCACACAAAGTCCCACACTTAATGGCAAACAGTGAGACTCACAATAAACTTCCATTCTAGACATGGACTAATACATTTCCTTATGAAGTACCTAATATACTTTATACTTTACTTAATATTAAATATGATATTTGTTAACTATGACAATTTAGGAATTATCAAAAAGCATAAAGTAGAAAAAAGTCAAAATCCAACCCCCAAAAGAATTATGATAAGAGTCTTATCAATCTTTAAATTAATATGCACATATTGCATTTTAAAAGCAAAGTTAATGAAGTAGCCTTTAAGGCTTCTTTGCATTAATGAGTTTAGGCAGGTTATGCTACTGTAACAGAAGATCTTCAATGCTCAGTGCCTTCTAATATCAAAAGTTTATTTTTCATTCATGCTACATGTCCAATGTAGTCAGTTCCCACTGTACCCCACATCTTCTTCATTTTCTAAAAAATATCTAGTTTATTTATTTATGCATACAAGAACTGGGGTATAGGCCAGAGGTGTGAGGTGCAATCTTCTCTGATGAAAAGATTCATCAGAGACAGAGTGGGGAGCAGAACAGGCAGATCTACTGAAATACACTACTCAGGGGAGCAGAGCGTGAGACAGTAGAGGTCTGCTGTGCCATGTGGGTTAGCACCTGACTGGGGATCGACTCGTGCTGTACTGGCTGCCAAAAGCTTCATAGTGCTGAGACTTAACCCCTGTGCCACCAGGGAGGCCCACACATCACCTTCATTCTAAGGACTCAATGTGAAGGAACAATTTCCTTGCAGAGAGAAAAGGGAATATGATAGATCATGCATTTGTCTTTAAGCTTCTGCATGGAAGTGACATTGCTGCTTTCATTTCATTTTGGAGAACAAGTCATATGGCAAGCTTAATGTGAGTGGGTAAGAAAGTATAATCCTCTTCAGGGAGGAGCAACAATTAACTGTGAACAATAATACTTTATGCTACCATTTAGCTAATGTAATATTCTACACCCATTTGCAAGTATTGGATTTGTTATGAAATTAATTTGTGAGGTTCTAGTGTGAGAATTTTGTACATCTCCTATCTTCATTTCTTCCCATCTTTGTTCTCATTGCCATAGGAAGGGAATGGTGGGCTGGGGGACAAATTAGAGACCCTACACAAGTAGAAATGAATTTGTATAAACAAATGGCAGTAATATCTAAAGGAAAATTATAGAATTTTATAGAAGCAAATCCAAAACAAAAATCCAGGCAGCAGAAAATTTAAATTATATTCTCAATTCAAGAGTTACCTTTTCAACAGAAATTTTCAGCAAATGGTGATCTTCACTTGGCTTCTCCACACTGAGAGAGGGACAGTTTCCTGGCACCAAGGCAACCTTTCTAGCAGCTGGTTCAAGGGTCCATATGTAGTCAGAGCTAGGGATTTGGATTCAGAAGCCCACATCTACCTATCTCTGTCAGCCTCCTACCTTCTGTTTTCAAAGACTCTGCCTGGGGGGTCAGGATGCAGCTTCGTAAATCTGAAATCACCTGCTCATTTTCTCAGTACCCAGCTGCTTACCGAATGGTTTAAGAACAGAAGGAAAATGTCCATTCTCCAGTTCCGTTTGTGCTTCTGGCCCCTGGCTTCCTGGGCATTACCTCCTGTGCTGAGGAGGGTATGAAATGCATTCACCATCCATTATAGCATCATCAGGGCTCACAGGTGTCTGCTCAGAGACAGGGGAACATTCATAAAGCTAGGAAGGACCTCCTGATGTCGCCCTTGCCCTTGGTTTTCTAATTGGTATGCTCAAAGCCTGAGCAGCAGAGATGGTCCCTATTTTACATTCATTTGCAGTGTAGTAGAGATGCAATTATTTGCAGACAATGAAAAAATCACGCATTTCCTAACCTTGCCTGCGTGGTTTGCCTTCCAAGTATACCCCTGGCATGCTCGCATTGAGCCCCTTTTGCTCAACTTGTTGGGAGGGCACCCCTATAAGAAGTCCTAAGTTTGGACAATCAACAACCATCTCTGACTTTGCCCTGTGTTTTGTCTTTAGCTAGTGTCCAATAGTCATTGTCTGTGCCGCCTCTCTCCCTAGTCAGCTTCAGGGTTCATTTGCTTCTATTTATTAGTCAGTAAAGAATGTTCATGTTTTGCATTTAATAAGCCACTGAACACAACAAGCTCCTTACTGAGCTGGAGTGGATGATGGTGTTTGCTGGATCAACCAACTTCTCCAGAAACAGTGATTAACCTGTCATCTTCCAGTATCTCTGCTGGACTCACCCACATGAACGCAGCTTTAAAACACAACAGTGGTTTTCAACTGTATGCATGACCAACTTTCACAGTTTTCTTTTCAAATGTCTTGACTTCAGTGAATGCAGTGGGAGAAGAGAATTCTAATAGCTTTTTCTGAAAATATGGGGGCTTCCTAGGGAGACAGTAATTCAGTGTTAATGGAGGGAAGATAGATCTGAACTGGTGTGAAAGTGGGGCTAAAGGATTAAGTAGGGTTAACCTTGAGGCATTTATAACAGTTTCAACCCTGAGATCTGAGAATCCATGTGCTCTGTTTTGCCCAGACAAAATGAGCTAAGGAGGAAAAAGCAAAGTGGAAAGCAATTTCTAAGACAAATAGTTCCTCCCCCTTAGGCAGCCCTCTATTCAGATATCTCCAGAGTAGCCATCTGAATGCCTGGGGTTTATCTTTGGCTACAACACAAGCAAACATTGGGCCTGGAATAAGGAGAGAAGGAGGGGGAATAAAAACAAAAAGACCCCTTGCCAGGACCATAGAGAAGGAGCATGGCAGAGCCAGCCTCCTGACTGGCACCGCAGGGTTCTGAGGCCTGGGACAGCTGTGGAGCCCATCACCTCGGGAGGAGGGTTTGTTCTGTCCCTGGCTTCCTGGCTCCCACCTTCCCTGCACATTTTCTCCAACTGAGTTCATTCTTGGCTGGTCCTCACTCAGAGGCATGAGAGCCAGGTGCTGGGATGGAGCCAGGTTAGAGACTGGAAGTTCATCCACTGCCGTGATTTAAAGCTGAGTGGAAAAATGTAAGATAGAAAAGTTAGAAAAGTCTTAATTCCATTCTGAGGGGGAGCTGTGGAGGGACAGGCTTTTAAGGGAACAAAATGGTAGTGCAAAAAATGATTTTTAGAATGTTAAGGATTTTTTGCCTTGGCGAAATCACTACACCTCTGAGTATTGGTAGAGGTTTGTTGTTAGCGTTTCTTTGACTGTATATTGGAGGAATGAATGGCTTTTGCTGTCTGTGAAAGATTTATCAAGCTCCTTGGCCACTCTGTTCCATAAGGACCTGACTCCAGGATTTGTGTGGTGTATCTGTGAATGAACAGGCTGAGTGTTGGGTAGGTAGAGAATAAAGCCTTGTGCGAAGCTCTTGTAAAATGTTAAAAGCTAAAGAACTTCCTGGTATTCCTGGAGAGTTAAAGAGAAGGATCTGAACAGTCCAGATAACTTTATCACTCTCAGATTCCCCCCAAGTAACTAATGCAGGCTTCTGTCTGGGCCCCAACTTATCCAGGTGTAGTCTTTACCTATGGTCCATTCCTAGTACTTCTCAACTCTTCCCAATATAAAGGAATCTGTGTTCTCTGATTACTCCAGTTGGTCTCTGCCTCTCAAAAAGAACATAATTTTAAGTACCTGGAAATTCAGGATTGTTCTTGAAAAACTAAGTATGGGATACATTTTTTTCTTTTCCTCCCTTTTCTTACAGGTATTGTCAGGGAAACAGATGTTGGTTTTATAGCACAAGATTATATTATAAATCTTCAAGTAGGAAAAAATCCTTTAATTATATTTTAATATATCCATCAAACATAAACAAAACATAAAAAGAAGTTATAGAGATATATTTTGGATCAAACAGAGGGAATCTTTTTGATAATAGAGCTATTCCAAGCTAAAATGGACTGACTTGACTGATAGTAAGCTTTCCTTATCAGGGTGTTGAAGCAAAGGCTAGAAAATTATTGTTCATTAATTACTCTTAAGGTG